GAATGTCTCTTATTGTTTCTGATACTTATCTGCACATTATAATGCCATGAGAAGTGTTTTCTTCTTTTTTATATTTTTAGATATACAATGAAAGATATTTATTTTTATACTGGACTAGAGTGATTAAGTATACTTTTTATTACACTCACCTTTTTTGAACTATCTCTAATTGCGCCCCCTATCTGATTAATTTTTAAATCAAATAATATATCAGGTTTTTTAATACCTCTTGATTGGAGAGAAAAGATACAGCACACATAATTGGCTTATCCATGATTGCAAACTAAACTGCTTATTTGCCTGATCCCATCTCCCCCTCCAAAAAAAAAAAAAAAATCATATTCTCTATTACCTTCCCTTTTTCTGGTGCCATGGACAGAACTTAAAATCACAAAACAAGTGAAAGAACCTAATATAAAACAATGTTTTACAACAAGCCTAATATTTGCATCATAATGAGAAATTAGTTTGAAAACAATTGAAGCTTGCAGGGACCTTGGTGTTAGTATTTTAATAACATTATACTTAGAACATTTTGCAGAAAATGTACTACTAAGGAGACTACTAAGAAGAAAACAGATTCAATTCTGGAATACTGAGATCTATTTAATTAATTAATCCAACAGTCATATAAAATGGTTTACATTACAGATGCTGGTCCCAATTTAGGTCCTGATCATTACCACTGGTCTTATGTTTCCCATAGCTTTTAACATTCTCATTGAGAGGATATTGGCAGAAAAAAAATCACAATGACAGAAATATGAACCTTTAGGATAAGTGACAAAAGTCACATTTAAAAGACAGTAGTAAAACTGTAGACCAGAAGGTAGATTTTGCCTGTAAGCATTGCAGCAATAAAAATGTGAAGTCTGTTCACTAAATCGTGAGTTGTTTGACAGCTGACTTACAAAATTTAGATCAGATTATTCACTAAATTGTGAATTGGACTTATATGACTAGGGAAGGAAAAAAATGTAAAAACATTTTTCCCTTATTTATCAATGGCAGTATAAATGAAACACTGGAGTTGGATTATATAAATTCACATTATTACTCCAATGTTAACTATTTTTGTAATTTTTAATCTTGTTAACATTTTGATTGTGTTATAGTATTGTAATAAATGTATTGTCGCTAAAACATAATAAACATTAAATATGAAAAAAAACTGTGAAAATTGCACTTAATTCTAAAGAATTTATTAAAGAATAGAAGTATTTCCTATGTTTTGGAAGCATTTATATTATTATTAAAGCATTTTGTATAGAGTCAACTTATTCTACAGCATGTTACGATATTTGAGAGGGGAAGAAGGCCCTGCTCAAATGAGCTTGCAATCTATGAGGATTTGTGGTAGGCAGATATATATTGTTAGGGTTATTTTCCCAATGACATTTACTGATAAGGTGGTCTGACAGAGACATGAACCAGTTCTAAGGCAATGCAATTATCACTGCTGAAACCAGACACAATGTATTTTCTTTATAATAACAGAATTTAATGTATAACATGGTATATTCCCCAATAATCCTTTTAGTCAGCCATATGAAGGCAACTTTTGTGAAACAAGTGGAAATAGATTGACCAAGCATGGTCTGCAAGCAACCGAAATAAAAAGAGATAAATCATTCTAACATCCATTCAGAAATTTTTGGAAAAACTTTGCAATGCACAGACCCCTTGCACTCCATAGAATTTTCAATTATAAGTATGCCTTTTGTCACTGGATTGTTAGGTGACAAGGCTGTTGGAGGAGCCTGATTGCCAGCCTCCTTCCTCATGACTATGGCCCTGGGGTGTATTGCCATTTAAAAAGACTATTTGGGGCTTATTGTCTTTTAAAGACTTCTAAAGACTGTTTCTGCCCATTTGAATCCATGGGAAGGTGTGTTTCTTCCCCTCCCCTGTTTCCTGTCTATTGTTCTCCAGCAGGGTGTTGTCCCAGGCACACTGCCAAACCAGTTGGAACTGACTGCTTTTGTCCCTCCTTGGTTTCTCAACAGCCCTTGCTATGCTTTACCCCATGGCAAATTTACTCTGTTCATGGGATCTGAGCGCTGTTCACCTAGATTGGATGCTCAGATCCGAGCTATCTGGGGATAGGTTAAATGTGGGGGTTCTGTGTAATATAATAAGAATTATGTATTTTTATGTACTTTTACGTGTTTTTGCGGTTAGTGTAAAATGTAGATATTTTCTGTACCTGGAGATAATTGAGTTTACTGCAGTGCCTTAAGCCAATTATCTCCAGGATGGAGAGGAGGGATTTCATTGTGTATGTGGGAGTGTTATTATGTTAATTAGTGTTCCCATTGGTTTGTGTCCCTTTTGTCACAGTTTACCACCAGGTTCAGGGGGTGTGCCTCTGGCCTGAAAACTTGTTTATAAGGAGTAATAAACGCTCATTGGAGTTAGATCATTTTGTACCTTCATGAAGTTTCGGCTCATGTTTGGGGGATTGGAGAACTACACTCTGGGGATTGCTATAATCATTATACTCCCCAGGGTATGATCACTAAGCTCTGCTAAGAGCTTGTTCCTGTTCCTGCTCTCTGGAATAAAGAGAGATTGACCTACTGGAAGCTGGACCCTGGTCTTGGGTCCAGAGTGGGTGGAGACGGCAAGACCCCAACCAAGCTGCGGCGGTTCGTGGGAGTCTACATTGGTTATGGTGTCTAGCGGAGTGCTTGGAGTCCTTGGAAAGCATTGGGAGCATCCATCAACAGAAGGTACCCGGTCGGGGTGCCAGCGGTTCCGTTACATGACCATAAAGTAGTCAAAGCATATTAAAAACTGAAAAACCTAACAGGTCTATTTACTAAAGTGAAAATTCAAAGTGAGTTTCACATTTAAGGCCAGTGTAACTGAACTGAAAGACATTTTCAAGTTTGGCTTTGTTTACCTTAAATGTGAAATTACTTTGAATTCATTTTTAATTCTCCTTTTAGTGAATAACCTTATTAATCTTTAAAGGGACACTATAGGCACCTAGATAACTTGAGCTCATTGAAGTGGTTTGGGTGTTTTGTTCCTGTCCCCTTAATACTGCAATGGTAATTATTGCAATTTCTTAGAAACTGCAATAATTACCTTGCAGTGTTAAGACTACCTCTAGTGACTGTCAATCAGACAGCCACTAGAGATACGGTGGTTAAGTGACATTTTCGCCTAACTGACTCTGGACATCCTCACACTCTGCATGAGGACATCCAGCATTAGCCAATTCCCCATTGGAAAGCATTGTAGCAATGCTTTCCTATGGGGAGAGTCTAATGCGCTCAATGTGGAATCAGGTAGGTACAGTAAGGGTATTTTAACCCTTATTATACTAGGGTAGGGGGAGCTATGCTGTTAAGAATATAGCTTTGTATGCCTAGCACTCTAGTATTCCTTTAAGATAGACTGCAAAATGCTTTTGAAATTAGGGAGTTGTAGTGGGAAAAAAAAAAATACATATCACATTTTAGACTGGAATACCCATGTTGGAAGTCCACAAATCACAGCTGACAAATGAAAATGTATATTTTGAATGTACATAAACAAGAGGCCACTAAGGACACATTAGTCTTTCAGGGTTTTAGGGATGCCAAAGCTGGTTGATATCATTATTTGTTAACGTGTGTTGAGGCTTACTTGACTTTTCAAAACTCCTGTATCCTGATTTGACTATCTGTCTTTTCAAGATTTCTAGCTAAATTCTGCTTTTCTATGATCACAATAACATAAAGCATCATCTGAATGTAAATAATGTAAATATGTGTTTCCTCTGTCTTGCATGATGGGGAGTAGTGAGCGACTCAGCAAGTAACGGGTTCAGTTTGGTTCACATGCTTTAGCAACTTTTTTGTTCTTTATCAATAATTGTCGCTGACAGTTTAAAAATTGTGATGCAGTTTCAAGATAGCCACCTGCACACTGAAACTCTGTCACTTGATTAGATAAAAAAAAAAAAATATTAATCTGAAGGGAATATTCTTTTTGAACTGATTTATGGAAAGAAATACCCCTAGTGACAAAGCAATTTTAAAGGATAAATTACACATAGACAGACATCAAGAGCAAAACAAAGATTACTATGCAGTGAAATAAAAGTTATTTTAAAGTTGGTACATGTTGAAACATAGCGATGGACATAAACTGCACTAGTAGCTTATGCTACTAAAATGATGCTCTGGTATTTCGTAATGTATTATGTAAAAAAGGCCAATGATCATCAACTATTACTGCCCCACCCCTTTAAAAATTATTAAAAATATTAATTAAATCAATAGAAATGCAATTTGTCTCATTCTTTCTTTTAACCAACATACAGTGTATTTAGCCTGGAGCATTAGAGCATTTTGAACATCTCAACTCTGCCTGTTTCACTCAAAACTCATTAATCTCAACTACTTAAATCTGACCTACTGTTGCGCTCCATGCTGTTTAGTTGATATTTGCTAGCAGTTGGCGCAAGGCATAATTTATAATAACCACATGTGCTTGTTTTCACACACAAAAAAACACTTTGGATTGATATTCATTGTAGAAAACAAGAGCTTGGCAATACTGGTTTAACTAATTGTGTTTCTTATGAAGGTCTTAACAGAATTCATCTCTTATGTTACTGCTAAAAGCTTTTCTGTTTTATACCCTACCACAAGTGCACGGCCTAAGAAAAAGGTGAACTAAAAAAAGCAATCAGGGTTATTTCATTATTTAAAATGTTTCAGCATTTACTAATGGAGCAAATAGTTATAATACTCACATTGCCATTTGTATGAAAGCACGTCATGTCATGTATAGTCAGTTTTTATGTTAACAGCCAATTATCGCTTGTTACAAGTCATTTGCAGTATTTATGAAAGGGGAATGTTACTTCTCTGAAAACCACACCATTGAATGAAACATTGAAAATGACCTGTGATTTGTGTTAACCCTTATTTCCATGTTTTGTTTTAACTGTGTATTAAAGATTTAGTAATTGGGGGGGGGTTGGAACCTGACCTCTGAGGAAGATGGACAATGAGTCTGTAGCTCCCTCTCCCACACATACGAAATCCACAAACATCCGCGGACACGTGTGCCCCCCGACCTCCAAAGTGCACACATCTCCCACTGCTCTTATCCAACAATCATCCATAGGGATGGAAGGTGGAAACAAGAAAAGAGAACATACCCCTTCAGTCGCACACCAAAGGAACCGCGGCAGCCATCTTGCTCCCAGGATATGGAGGAGACAGGCACGGAGACGACGGGAGCGAACCAAGAAGGGCACACAATGCTCCTTTAATGATAAGGGACCTACAATCCCTGCTCCAAGACGCTACGATGGACATCAAGTCCCACGTGGCATCAGAGCTCAACAAGCAACTTTCAGGCCTAAAGGAGGAACTCGGGGCCCTGGCGAACAGGACTAATCAAGCAGAGGCGCGCAATACTGACCTCACCACCAAAACCCAGGCACACTCTCAAGACATTGTCTACCTCCACTCGAGGCAAGTGTCCATAGAGGAAGGCCTGGAAGATCTCAACAACAGGTCCAGGCACAACAATATCTGGATTAGGGGACTACCCGAAACGGTTGCCACAGAAGGCTTACACAATACACTCCAAGACCTGTTCAAGAATATGCTCCCGAACCCATCTGCACAAGACCTCACCCTCGACTGGGCTCACAGGACCCTCTGCCCACAAGCCCTGAACCCTGCTACTCCCAGGGACATCATAACCTGTCTCCATTTCTTTGCCGTTAAGAAGCTACTAAACACCACTAGAACAACCCCGCCGCAATTCCAAGGGGCCTGGCTCTCCTTCTACCAATACCTGGCACCCTCTACCCTCAAAAAATGGAGAGATCTCAAATAACTGACCCTCACTCTAAACCACCATGGCCTAAGATATATCTGGGGACATCCATTCAAGTTGATGATAAGCAAGTAAGACCAGACCCATGTACTGACAAACTTCACTGAAATGTCAACATTTGCAGAGTCCCTGGGACTTACTTTACTACCTCTGCTCCCAACCGCGGGTGCGGACCTTAGCAACAGACAATGGTACCAGAAAGAGAAATAGTCACGGTCAATGCCCAATGCCACAGGGGGAAAACAGATTTTGCCTCTTATCCTTACCCTGTCTAAAACCCTCTTTTTTTTTTCTTTTTTTTTTTTACCTTGTTATGGGTTAATCAATTATTTATATTGTTTACTGTATTTCTTTACTGTGTGGCATATTACCATGACATATGAGACGTATTTGGATGAGGTATCCCTTCGGTCATACCTGCAAGTGTACCTAACCAGCCCATGGATACTCACCCTGCCTATACAAGCATTACCCAAGGAAAAGGCCCCCAGTAGTCTCCCCCAGCCATCTCAAGCTACCAGGGGCGCCATGGGATTAGGCCACCAAGGACTCCCCTTAATGTAACTAATGGGATGCAAAAGCTCTCCTTCAACCCCCCTGATTTTGACGTCTCCAAGCACCCCCCGCCCCACTAATGGCATCTAGAAAAAAAACGATATACATTTGCATACTGAATATGCAATGTTATCTTATTTTTTATGTATGCTCTTACATGTTTTCCTAAGCATGGGTCGGATAAAACAGCTTAATTTATTGTACAGCTACCATGTATTGTATACCAGTGTTTGCATGCATACTCTTCAGGATAACCTGTCAAAACCCTAGTAACACCAGGTTTACACTATATTACATTGAGGTCCCCTTTATTTTATTATCCTTGATTCTCCTCAGACTCTTCCCTTACCCCTACCACACCCCCATTCCCGGCCCCTATACGTACACCTTCACCCCACCCCCTTCTTCTTTCTCTTTTTTTCTCTCTCTCTATTTCTCCCTCTCTCTCCTTCTCTTGCTTCCTCTCCCTCCTTTCTACCAAACCCTTAGCCCCTTCCCATCCCTCTCCCCCCTCACTCCTCCCCCTCTCCTTTGTCTGCCTATAAACTCCTGCAGCCACACCCCACAGGGCCATGCAGGCTTCCCCAATGTAACACCGCGGCACCATGCCCATGAACCTAGCTTGTATCTCGATAAACTGTAAAGGCCTGAATAGTCCTGCCAAATGACACCGCCTCCTCCGGTGGGCCAATCGGTCAAAAGCAGATGAAATCCTTTTGCAGAAAACACACTACGAACAAGCCAGAGCATTCCCTCTCCTCAGCTGACACTACAGAGACTGCTACCTAGCCAATTCCCACAAAGGGAATATAAACAGAGTAGCCATTTTAATCCGCAAGACATGTCCCCTTGTCTTCACATGCAAGGTCCTCGATCCACAGGGTATGTTATTAACAATAGCGGGGAACGCTGGACTACATAAATACACTTTCTCCTTTATCTACGCCCCCACATCCACCAACATACATTTCCAGAACACCCTACAGGCCCACCTTAGTCTCTTATCATCACACAAAGAATAGAGTGGTTTATTCCTTCCACTCAATGCACTCTATTCTTTGTATGATTGTGTGTTAGAGGGACTTACAGATGTGTTGTAGCTGCTAATTTTAATTCTATTTTAATACTATCTGTAAGCGCCTTATACTGCACAGAACACCACAGGTCACAAGCACAGCCATAGGCTCGATCACATGGTTGGATCACGTGGATATTCTCCTATCCATCACTATTTCACACACGACCAAAAACTGGTCATGGCGACTTAACCTCACACACCTCCACAATACACACATCAGGGATTACTTCGACATTAATAAAGACTCAGTATCCTCCATGGGCGCCCTCTGGGTGGCCCACAAGGCAGTCATAAGGGGCAAACTGATAGCGGTGGCTTCAGCACATAAACAGCAACTCGTGCTCTTAGAAATACATATTTCCACCCTACGATCAGTAGAATTCAAACATAAACAAAACCCCACTCCGGACCTGACAGCCCAACTCCAAATGCATAGATAGGCAATACAAAAATTCATAGTACAAGATACTAAAAAGGCACTACAGTGGACAAAACAAATGTTTTACGAAAAGTCAAACAAAGCTGACACACTCCTAACTTGCAGACTCCGCCAAAGGATCCAAAATAAACACATAGATAAGATACAAGCACCAGATGGTCAGACCTGTGTGCTCCCTGAGCGGTGGGTGGGGGCCCTAAATACTAATAAGGGGGGGACCTAATGTCCCCCCCCTGGCCACCACCACTGAGCAGTGGGTGGGGGCCCTAAATACTAATAAAGGGGGGACCTAATGTCCTCCCCCTGGCCCCCACCCCTGAGTGGTGGGTGGGGGCCCTAAATACTAATAAGGGGGGGACCTAATGTCCTCCCCCCTGGCCCCCACCCCTGAGTGGTGGGTGGGGGCCCTAAATACTAATAAGGGAGGGACCTAATGTCCTCCCCCATGGCCCCCCCGAGCGGCGGGTGGGGGCCCTAAAAAAATGTTAACCCCCCCAGGTGACTAGGGGTCCCCAAACCCTTAGTCACATCCTCCCCTCCCCTCCTCATAACACTCTGATTGATGGATTAAGTAACCAATCAGAGAGTTATGAGTCAAATTACACAGCGTGGGAAAATTTCAAACTAACTTTCCCACACTGTGTAAAATGACACAGAGCACTCTGATTGGTGGATTTCAAACCAACCAATCAGAGTGCTGTGACAGGTAAATGTAGAGACTAACCTGTCAGTCTCTTCATTTACCTGTCATAGCACTCTGATTGGATGGCTTAAACCCACCAATCAGAGTGCTCTGAGCCTAATTGCAGGGCGGGGCAAGGCTTCATAAGCCTTGCCCCGCCCTGCAGAGCTCAGTCTGCGTGGAGCCCTTGCCGGGTGAAGATGGATTTTTTTTTTTGCGCTCGTTGTTTTTTAATTGTGTTGGTTATTATGGTTTTTTATTTCGCCTTTTTTGGGGCTGAAAAAAGAAGATTTTAGAAGAAAGAAAACATTGAATGGTAAGTTTTATTTTTTTTTACAGGTATGTGGCAAAACTAGCCACTGGAGGCTATCAATGTATAAGTATGTTTGTATTCTTGCTAAAGCTGTAGAGACAAGTGTAGGATTGTACTTGCATTTCAGGCGAATGAGGACATTCGTATGTTGGCGGCATGAAAACCCCAGCATTCATACTGTAGTTTCACGAACAGTGAGTTTCAACACTGTTCGTGAAACGAATAACTTACCGAATGGACGACCACACACAGGAGGTCGTGTGGCACCCATTAACCGATTGCAACATTGTTGCAATCGGTAATTAAGTGTGTTCCTAGGTGGCCGTCGTTCGACAACCGACCACGCGGCATTCGGCCATCTTGGTTCCTTTGTTAGCCCAGCGGGGTTTGGTCGTCGAGCGCCTGGAACCAAAATCCCGGCCGTTCGGTAGGTTGTTTCCCTGATGTCAATCGGTATTTTGAGCAGAACTTGAATTTAATGTGTGCTTCGTGCGGCGTTCGGTTAGCGGCGTAAAATAAGGGGGGGACCTAATTTCCTCCCCCCTGGTCCCCACCTGAGCGGTGGGTGGGGGCCCTGAATACTAATAAGGAGTGGACCTAATGTCATGGGGAGGACATTGGGGGGGGACATTAGGTCCCGCCATTCCAATTTAGGACCCCCACCCGCCGCTCAGGGGTGGGGACCAGTGGGGAGGACATTAGGTTCCCCTCTTATTAGTATTTAGGGCCCCTACCCACCGCTCAGGGGTGAGGGCCGGGGGGACAATAGGTCCCCCCCATCATTTTACTTTAGGGCCCCCACACGCCGCTCAGGGGTGGGGGCCAGGGGGCAATAGGCAATAGTTTAAAAGCTCGGGAGGGGGGACCCTATTTTTTTATTTATTTATTTTTAAACAGTGAGCAGCACCAATTTAGGTCTTTCAGCCTTTTGGTAGTTAACTCCCTAATACCGTGGGAATTAGGGAGTTACTTACTAAGCGGCTGCAATAGAAGTCCCGAAGTGCCAAAGTCCCGAAATTCGGAAATGCCGAAGTTCCGAAATTCCAATGTTCCGAAGTGTCGAAGTGCTGAAGTTGCCGAATTTCCGAAGTGCCTAAGTGACGAAGTTCCGAAGTGTTGAAGTGCCGAATTCCCGAATTGCGAAAATCCCGAATTTTGGAAGGCCGAACCGAACCGAAAATTTTCCCCATGCACATGCCTAATAGATAAGTTCCTGAGATCAATCCCCATGCCAACTCTGACAGAAGAGGAAAGGAGAATCCTCGCCACACCAAAAACCACCAAAGAAATTGCACAAGCTATGAAAACCCTAAAGCCCAACAAATGTCCAGGCCCGGAAGGCATCTCGGGTTTGTATTATAAAACGTTCTTGACATGGCTTCTACCACACCTTCTCTGCCTGTTTTACTCCTTTATGAGAGGAGACCCTAGGCCCACAGACATGCTCCAAGCCAACATCTGTTTGCCCCCGATTCACACAAAAGTCACCTAGACCCAGGCCACTACCCCCGAATATCGTTGTTAAATATTCACAAAAATCCTGGCAAATCGTCTCCACCCCTTCCTCCCAAAGCTGATTCACCCGGACCAGGTTGGCTTTATCCCCTATCGACAACACCAGACAAACGTAGATCTGGTGTGGACCTGGTGTAGACCTCCTCTCCCATGACGCCGTTCCATCTCAACCTTAACCTACTCCCATGCTTCCTCTATTTGCTCTAGGCCCTACCTATCCCCATTTCCAGAACAGATTTCAAGACACTGCAATCTCAAATAGACAAATTCATATGGGCGGGGGAAAAAGCCAGGATCAAACGGTCAATGCTATATGTACCACATAAAATGGGGGGACTGGGTCTACCCAATTTCTGGAGCTATTTCAAGGCAGCACAACTGGCACAGAAACAAAACCTGCATGCACTGGTAGGGAAGA